ACATATATATTTATATTGAATATATAGTTGGTGCTCAATTTACATGTGTTGGTATACAGATAACAAATTTCAAGGATAAAACTGGCCTGAGCAGCTTACTGCTGTATTATTTCGATGACTTCAGCTACTTGAAGCAATCCCAGCTCCTAGAAGATTTGGCTTATGAAGGCAAGAGCATGGATAAAGGGGAAATGTGTATTTAGGAAAGTAATTTTCTCTTAATTCATTGGATAAATATTTGTTGAGTGTCTGTCATGGGACTGGCACTAGGAATAGAGTGACCTTGAGGCAGACAAGGGCCTCCTCTTATGAGCTTGCAGCCTCACGGAGCAGACAGGAGATTAAGCATTAAACATAAACGACAAGATAAATCCAAACAATATTAAGTACTATGAAGAAAATAGAAAAGAGCAAGGTAATAGAGTTTGCTTCTGGTCATGGGCTGAAATGGGAAGAGGAGGAGGAAGACAACTCTAGATGGGCTGGTCAAAGCCAGTATTTCTGAAAAGTTGACATTGGACTGGTATCTGAATGAGAAGGAGCTGACAGTGTATGGGGTAGTCTGTGAGGACAGCATTGGAGATAGAGGGCATGACAAATAGTGGAGGCTGTCACCTGGGAACAAGCTTGGTATGTTCTTGAAATGGAAAAAGTTGAGGTCTAAAAGAATATGGAAAAATATGATACACTGTGTATGTATGTATGTATATACAAGCATACCCAGAGTATCTGTAGGAGAAGATAAAGACATATATTGTCAGGTTTTAAATCATCCCCTAAAAGTGCTATATAAATGGAGGTGTCAGTAAATCTGACTTTCTTAGATCCTCCACAAAATAGCAACCTCTCTTAGGGTAGGGAGTCTACCCTAAGACACAGATTCATGTGTCCCACTATGTGACATAATGCCAGGCATAGACAGAAGATACTTGATAAATATTTGATAAATGAATGCACGAAGGCAATGAATGAATGCCCAAGGCTGAGATATCACATGTTCATATCATCTACTTTTAGCCTTTCTGTCTCAATTTGGCATTGCATCTGCACCCAAATACCATCATATAAAATAGAAGAAAACTGCTGATGTTTAAGAAAACCATCCATATGGTCTTTAATAATTTCGAGAACCAAGAGGAAAACAGAGTGGGGAAATTGGCAAGAGAACACTTATGTATTTATATATAATTTGTGTTTTAGATAAAAAATGCTGATATCTTGGTGTATGCTATGTTGCTGTAATTTGAAGGCTAATGCATGTGCAATTTCTTGGAAAAGAGCTCTTTGGAGTCTCAATATAAGGAAATAATAAGTAGCTTTCTCTTTATGTAGAAGATTCTTAAAGATGCAAAATACAGTTGTTTTATTTTTTTTAAGATTTTATTTATTTATTCATGAGAGACACACAGAGAGAGAGAGAGACACAGGCAGAGGGAGAAGTAGGCTTCATGCAGGGAGCCCGATGTGGGACTCAATCCCGGGACTCCAGGATCATGCCCTGGTCCGAAGGCAGGCGCTAAACCGCTGAGCCACCCAGGGATCCCCTACAGTTGTTTTAAAGAGGAAAAAAATAGATGTTTTGCATCAAGTCAGAGACATTGTGATTTTTTAAATCCCAAATTGTTTTGTAAATCAAAGACAGACCTGTTTATTTTAAAGACAAGCTCTTGAAAAAAAATCTTAGGAATTAATAATTAAGTTAATGTAGTAATTCTAAAGCCCATTGATCTGTATTTATTTTAATAAATCTTACTACATGCACAGTGTACAACTGAGGGTTACTATAATCTGGAGAAGGTCACTTGTCTTAATGTTGGAACTATAAAATGGAAATTGCAATTCATATGTAAAAATATTTTATTAAGAAATGTCAGTAGTGGGGTGCCTGAGTGGCTCAGTGAGTTAAGCATCTGCCTTTGGCTCAGGTCATGATCTCAGAGCAAGGAGTCTCTCAACTCATGATCAAGCCCTGCATTGGGCTCCCTGCTCAGCAAGGAGTCTGCTTCTCCCTCTCCTGCCATTACCTCTGCTCATGCTCTCTCTCTTTCTCAAATAAATTACAGTGTATCTGAATCGATTTTTGAACCAATGACAAAATTTAAATACTATCTATTATCTGCCTAGATATACCTGGTTTAATTAATATTTTTCTAAAGAATAAATTATGTACTGTCAAAATTATAGGAAAATTAAAGACTGAGACTTTGAAAACGTTATATGAACATATGTAACATTCATAATTATTGGGTGACAGACCCAATTTTCATGGCATTTATATATGCTCTTCACATAATCAGGGCTCCTACTGGAGTTAAGAATTTTCTGTGCTTGATATTTGGATGAACATTTAGTGGGGGAAAGCATACCTTTTCCCTAAGTTTCTGTAATACACATTTGCAAACAGTGCTTCAGTGCTTTGTAGATAAACTTCCAAGAAATTGGCTTTCACATTTGCCTGCTGTGCATGGAACTGGGACATGGTTGGGTTTGCAAGATGAAACAAATAAATGCTTATCAGTTCTCAAGCCAAGGTTTTAGTTCGTGCCCTTCCATACCTTCCCAACCCCTCTGCCTCCTAACTGCAGTTAAAGTTCAACCACGTAGGTTTTGAGTGCAGCACAGCAAGACTCTGATTGATACCATCAGGCACTGAAACTGTGCTTTGCTATTAGTTCAGGCAGCCAGGCGAGGGGAGAGCAGCACCAACTCTACTATAAAATCCCTGCCTGTTAGGATAATTCTGGGCGCTGCCAACTCCCCCAGCATAGAAGGCGGATTCTCATGTTGTTTACTCTGTAGAACCAGGATGCCACAAGTCAAAGAGAGCCCATTGGACCTTCCACTAAGAATCTGTTTCTATTAAAGGAAACTAATGTAAGCATGTCTAGGTAGAATCAAGTTGTGTTGTTGCTCTTTTGGCACTCTAGCTACGGGTGGCTGGCTCTTCCCACTCCTCCAACAAGAGGTTAGCCTATTTCTTGTAGCATATGGCCAGTTGGATCTGTCCTACTCAAGTGGCCCTTATAAATATATACGTTCCATCAGCCCAGCTGTCTTACTTGTGATTGGAGCTGACAAAGGTCACCGTTAATATTGCATCCTGCCTGTCGGAGTGTGGTCCACTATGCCTGATATATGGGTGATTCCATTTGGCAGAGACTCAAAGGCAGACAGAGTGGGACAGCTTCATAGCGGACATGGGGGAAGGTGTTCTGTAGGCCCTGAGAGACCGGCGGCAGCTACCTGGAAGTGGGGCATCCCATCTGTGGTTAAGGGAACACTGACCTGACCTGAGTGTGAATCCTAATACCTTAGGAAATGGGCCTCTGAACACACTGTTCTCTTCCTGCTTCTGTAGTACTAGGCAGATGTTATGAGAGAGTACAAAAAACCAGTCTGCATCGAGGACCCCTGTGGATGACAGTTATTACAGGAAGATTTCTTTATGAAATATGTAGTCAAAAATAGGGGCAATTGCATAGCTCCCCAGAGTGATCACTGATTTGGGGGCATAAAGCTGTGTTTTATACATTCTGGCCAAGATAACCCTGCTGTCAGTAATAACAATAACAATAAAAGAAGTCAAGTGTTCCCAGGAAAGTTGCTTTTATTTGTTTGACCTAAAAATAGATGAGCATTTGACGAAGTTATTAGAATCTTTAGGGCACCATCATATTGCCTCTCTCTCCCCACCTAGCCTCTGATTTCTGTGATTATAGGACCATAACTAGTGCATCCATGCTAGTACCTAGCACAATCTCAGGAACATAGTAGGTATTTAAAAATATTTGTGTCATGCATGAGTGTTCTCTGTAGTTAAGGCATCTCCAGGAGCCGCAGACAGCATTGTCTATTTTTGCCCTGCAAGCTCAGGAGGAGAAACAGGCATGGTGTACTCTTTCTCAGTGGTCTCTATCACTCAGCTCCCCTGAGTCACTTGACATTTTCATTTTTAGCCATTCGTTTTCTCTACTATTCCTAAATAATTCACAAGCATTTGTGGAGTCCATCATCTCATCCCAGTGTCTACAAGGGTTCTGTTTCACACACGTCTTCCAGGTTTGGTGCTGTGTTCTATGTTCTCATAGCCTCTGTACACAGCTCTCATTGGAGAGCCTTGACCACCCTGTGGTGGTTCTTACTGGATTATTCATCTTCCTTTTGAACTATCTACTACATGAAACTGGGGTCTGGCCTTCGTCTCTGTCCCTAGGGTATATACTGTTGTGTTTGACCCACCGTGGGCTTATGTTGATGTTTACAGGATGAATGAAGAATCAAATGAATAAAAAGAATGATTGAATGAAATGAATGTATCCATCATTAGATCATTTCTAGCCACTTGTTTTCAGATGGTGGCTGGAAAAGTGAGAGTCTGTGGCATGTTTCACAAGGTGGTCATAAGTAGTATGTCATAAAGACCTTTCATCTTAGCCTTCCTATGGATGTGGTCCTTTACTGATATGTAAATTAGGTACCACTAATACAAAAATCTAAGAAGTGGTCTCGAATCTCAAAGTTAAGAGTCAGGTAGGAAAAACAGGTATATAAACAAATCACTGTTTCAGCACAGTAGTGTGCAAGGAAGATGCTATTGAGTTTTGTTTTTGTTTTTGTTTTGACCCCACAGGTCAGAGATTTGAGAAAGTGATATAATTAGAAGTTATAGCTTTAATATGTTGCAGAGATAATGCTTTACACATCTGGTTTATTCATGTTTGAAAAAGAAGTAAGATTTTGTGACACACTTGAAGGAAAGTATGTCTATTTCAAGATTTAATGTGAAAGCAACAATTTTTATATATTTAAATCATAAATTCTGTAATATATCATGTTTTATGTGCTCAGCATGTTCTTATTTCAGAGTATCCAAATATTCTTCAGCTGTCCTTATGAGATTATTTAGTATTTTGCTTCTAAGTCTAAGGCTTATGCATTTTTATAATGGATCCTTTTTATGGTGACTTCTGAACTTTTTCCTTTCTTTCTCCCACCCTCAGATTTTCATCACTGTGAATTGCCTGAGTACAGATTTCTCCTCCCAGAAAGGGGTGAAAGGACTTCCTTTGATGATTCAGATTGATACATACAGTTATAATAATCGTAGCAATAAGCCCATTCATAGAGCTTACTGCCAGATCAAGGTCTTCTGTGACAAAGTGAGTAAAGATCATAAAGGTATCTTTGTTATTAGATATTACTTGTAATGACATTTCCTCTTTGTCACTTCTCTTGTCTAGTGGTGTCAAATTAGTCACCTTATCAAGCACACTGGGAGTTGTAACCTTTCATTTTCAATTCATTTTAGATATCTAGGGAGTCATCAGTCGACTATTTTTTTTTTTTTAGTCAATCATTTTACCACTAATTTAATGGCTGATTGACATTGCACTGTGCTATGAGTCTAATTCACTTAGATAAGTAAAATAATAGATTAATACTTTTTACTGGGTATAAGCCTGTCCCAGAGCATGTCAGTTTATTTTATGAATTAAATGGTGTCTCATCTAGAGCTTTTGGAAATGGAAATGGCACCTATGAAATAAGTTCATTAGTAAACATGCACTCAAGAGGAGATACAGTTTTTTAATCTCTCTGAATCCCATCATAAGAAGATAGAGCAATTAGAATAGCAAAGTTTAAAATCCTTTAATTATGTGACATGAGATCTTGACAAATCCCAAATATAAGTGGGAGTAAACAGCAATAGTTTTGAGAGCTGTATGATACCAGCATCATAAGGGAAAGCAATGGGGCTACGTGATAACCAGAGAACAGGAAACCTATAAAATTGCCCCAAGGTACTCACTAGGGAGTGAAGTGTGCCATCCGAGGATAGCATGTGAAACAAGGGTGGAAGGATTCAGATTCTGTAGACTCCAATTTGCTATCATTGATAGATGCAAAGGGATGGAACATTGAAGTGTTGGGGCTCTGAAAACTCTGGAAAGTCATAAATTAAAGTTCCCTTCTAGGGCAAAACTCTGCTCTGAGAAAAAGTTGCTGGGAGTAGAATCCAAGTTAAATTGGACTCCCTCTACTCCTCCAAAAAAAGGTGCAAAGGAAAGAGAAGTTCCAAATAAAAAGGATGAGGAGAAAGGATACAGAGTAAACCGATCTCAGGAAATACAGACTTTTTTGATTTTTTTTTTTTATCACTTTGTGAACACATCAGAAGAGAAGAAGAAAAAGCATGAGAGCTGTGAAGCTGGCAGAACGATCTTGGTCCACTCATTTTACTTAAAAATGACTATCAGAAAAGAAAAACAGTTGAATCCCAACAGAGTCTCATGAAAAAAAGATATTAAAATCAGACTGACATCCCTGGGGGCAATGGGTACCTGCCCATGAAACAGGTGACACCTACAGCTTAATGTTCCAAAATGAGCTAAATGAAATTAAGAAAATCATAGAAGTCATGAAGATCAACATAAATCCCATAGAAAAACTCCAGAGTTGTTTTGAGCATAGAATGATTTGAAAAGATTTGTGAAAGAATTCAGAAATCAAAGATTAAAATATTTTAGAAGTAAAGACTATGCTAGAAGCAAAGCAAGAATGAATAAATATACAAGAGAATGCCTTAAGAGAAATACAATTTGAAGCGGCAAAATTTTAAAAATCAAAAGGAATAAAAAATGAGATGCAAAAGAAAATAATATAGGACAGAGGTAAAGAAGATCCAGTATACATGTAATAGGAAACTTTGAGGGATCCCTGGGTGGCGCAGCGGTTTGGCGCCTGCCTTGGGCCCAGGGCACGATCCCGGAGACCCGGGATCGAATCCCACGTCGGGCTCCCGGCGCATGGAGTCTCCTTCTCCCTCTGCCTGTGTTTCTGCCTCTCTCTCTCTCTCTCTCTCTCTGTGACTATCATAAAATTAAAAAAAAAAAAAGGAAACTTTGAGGGAGAAAACTAAAACAATGGAGCAAAACAAATGCTAAAATATGATAAATTAGGAAAACTTAAAATATAATGAATATATCTATATTAAACAGCCTAGTAAATACTTGGGAAGATTGGCTCAGGATCATCAATACCAAGTTGTTAACTTAGTAAACTTTAGAAATATTCTTTAGGCATCTAAGTAAAATACAATAGAATAGAAATAGAATAGAATAAAAAGTCACTTGTAAGGAAACTTACCATCAAACTTTTCAACAGCACTCTCAGGTCAGGGACAGTTAGGTAGCCTTCACAGCGTGGGGGACCAGTTAAGTCAATAGACACAGTTGTGTAAATGAGAAAAAACAGTGGGTCAGTTGCCAGAATCACATCGCAGAAAAGAAGTAGAGAAGCCAGATGCAAATGCAGGTCTGATTCCAGACCCATACTCTTTGAATTAATAAACAGCTGTATACATAAAAAGCCAAAATGACAACTGATGATTCAAAACCTCAACAAAGAGCCAAGGTAGCCTTTAAAAATAAAAGAAAGCAAACGAAAATCAGTTAATATCTTTAATTTAGCATATTAAACATTACGAAAGCATTTTATTTTAATGAAAGCATTTTCAAATGACATATAACATTGGGCTTTTAAAGTACAAATGGACAGCATTTAAATAGTTTGAATATCCTCAACTGTATTCCAGATACAGCAAGGAACGTTGCAGAATCCTCCTCTGAGGATCTCCTCCTTGAAAACAAAGCGTGGGATTACAGGCAGAGAGAAGGGAGGGAAGGATGGGATAGAGACACTGGGCAGTCCATTTACCTTTACATTGCTGCTGGGAATTGAAGGTGAGAAAGAGAGGCCTTAAGAGATGCTCATATAGTTATTTTTTTCAACAGTGTTGATATGATAAATACTGAAACTCAAAGAAAAGGAACATGCAGGATAAATAGATAATGTTACATTGTTGTTCAGCTATGTCCTAGAACTCTAAGAAACTAGTGATATAAAGTGTTTCCAGTGGGTGGTGTTTAGCTTACTTATCCTGATGTTAAGGATAGGGAAGAAATCTCAAGCAGAGTCTATTAACCTTAACTGCTAGAAAAGTTTTGAATAACTCAGATACAAAATCTTATGCTGTAATTTGCCAGTAATATTTGCAACTCTAATTTCAAAACCCAGACAAAACTTACTCCTGGGAGATGCAAAGAGAAAATGTTTAATTTTTACCCCTTTTAAATGAGGATGTAAATGCCAATGATTGAATTCTCCTCTAAAGCAAAAAAAGTAAGAGCTATTCCATTTTAAAATCCTGTTTCCCAGACACAGTCAAGATTTGTAAACAGATGGAGTTCTGCACTATTTATAGTCCTCCAGCTTGATTTATAATTAGCACACCTGTGAGAATCAAATAAAGACCTTCTCTATTTTTTATTTTAATATTTTATACTTCTATGGAAATGCATTTTTTTGCATTTAAAAAAATTTGGAATCTGTCTATATATCTACCCTGTGTTCATGTCTTTATATCTATGTTTAATTACTTCCATTAGCTTTCCTGAAAAACAAGAATTGTATTAATGTAAATAGTAAGTACATAATTTGTAAAACTTGAGAAATAAAGCCAAGTTCTTTTTTTATAATAGTTTTTTCTCTTTATTAATTCTTGTTTGGAAAGATTTGGAGATGATGACTGTTGAAAATTATGAAAAGCTAAAGATGCCCCTGCAAACCATCTTGGTACATTGGCCAACTTTCATTTAGTTAAGGACACATTCTTAAATTTAAGAGAAATTATTTAAGTGTGCAGTAAAACAAAGCTAACCATCACTTCTCAAAAGGTGGCAAGACATCACAATATAATCAGGAAATCTTAAGGCATATTTTTTAAATCTAAGACTCCAAAATGAACATTTAGGTAGGAAAGTTATTTTTAAATGATAAATTTGGTCTTTGTAGCCAATTATACTGTTCTGGAAGAACTGAACTTTTGTGCACTTTGATAAGAGTGGAAAGAATATCTTTTAGAAGCTTTAGGTCCCAAATATTCAAGGGAAGTAAAGGAATTCATGGAAGGTCATGTTCAAGGAAGCTTTCTCCACCTTAATTAAAAGTATCTAAGCTTCTCTGGATCATTGTGAAGTCAAAGCTTTATTTTAGAAATGGGAGCTGTGGTTCTCCTATAAATGTTTGGGTACTATCCAGACTTGTTTTGTCATGCTGATATCTGAGCATTCTGGGCAGGAAATTTCTTATATAGACATGGCACCAAGATTAGGCTCTGTAGGGAGCCACTGTAGGTTTTATGTTGATCCATTTGGTTTGGCATATCAAAGAATGCCTGTCAAATAATAATCAGGTTACTCTATTGCCTAAAAATTGACACTGAATATATGTAAGTCTTGGAACAAATTAATTGCAGGCTTTTTCCTCAAAGTAATAGTACAAAATAAAGCACCAATTTAGAAATAAAACTGCTTGACAAACCTTGGGGTGTATCTACAGTGAGTCATAATTTATGTAGATAGATAAAGTTTTAAATTTTTATTTATATTAAATAATATGTTGTAGAGAACTCCAAGAACATAGAAAAACATCTTATATGGACTCAACAAAAAATGAATGATAGGAGACTTGTGCTTATATCTCACACCAATTTCAACAAGGCAATGTCTGTAGATTAACAGTTTGTTTTTTTCAAAATATTATATATTATCTAGATACAAAACTCTGCAAAACCTTAATATATCATAAAGAAACTTCCAAAGGATGCATTTCTATATTTTTAAACCCCTCTTCTTCTACATGTCCATGGTTTATAATTATAAATGACAATTCAAAACTTTAAAATGAAGCACTATAAAATAATTACCCCCTTTTTGTAGTAAGAAGTTTTTTGACATAAAAACATCTTTAAAATATCTGGCTAAACTATTATATCTGTCCAGATCTTATCTATGTAAAGCTCTTAGAACTCACCTGGCACAGAGTAAGTGCTATGTAAATATTAGTTATAATTACTCATTTTTCAAGAATTAGCTTTAATGCTATCTCCTTTACGATGCTTTCATTGCCCACATGTGTCCAAATCTCTTGTGTCATGGATTTACTTTGGCCAGAATTGGGAATCTTTTGTTTTTTTTTTTTAAAAAAAGCTAATTTGATAAACAAAACATGTATCTCTGTGTTTTAATCAAAGCTTTGTATGTCTTTTTCTGTGAAGTGTCTATTTCATGGCTCTGGTCCATTTTTTAAAGTGGTGTAGGGGGAGGGGCAAGATGGCGGAAGAGCAGGGTCCCCAAATCACCTGTCCCCACCAAATTACCTAGATAACCTTCAAACCATCCTGAAAATTTACGAATTCGGCCTGAGATGTAAAGAGAGACCAGCTGGAATGCTACAGTGAGAAAAGTTCGCGCTTCTATCAAGGTAGGAAGACGGGGAAAAAGAAATAAAGGAACAAAAGGCCTCCGAGGGGGAGGGGCCCCGCGAGGAGCCGGGCTGAGGCCGGGGCGAGTGTCCCCAGGACAGGAGAGCCCCGTCCCGGAGGAGCAGGAGCTGCACCAACCTTCCCGGGCGGGCGGAAAGGGGCTCGCAGGGAGTCGGAGCAGGACCCAGGAGAGCGGGGATGCCCTCAGGCTCCCTGGGACACTAACAGACACCTGCGAGCGCAGGAGAGTGCTCCGAGCTCCCTAAGGGCTGCAGCGCGCACGGCGGGGACCGACCGGAGCAGCTCGGAGGGGCTCGGGAGCGGCTCCAGGGAGGGAGCTGCGGGGCGGGAGCGCGAATCCCACAGCGCAGGCCCCGGAGCACAGGGCGCCGGGACACAGCCCAGGACCCGGCCTCCCCCGGGACAGGCAGAGGCCGGGAGGGCCCAGGACAGCAAGGACGCTCCTGCCCGGAGCTGAGCAGATCAGCGGCCCCGCCCCGGAGCCTCCAGGCCCTGCAGACGGAGAGCCGAGAGCCCCGAGCCCCGTAGTTCCTGCGGAGGCTGAATCCAGGCTTCCAGACTTGCCATAGCAACTGCGACTGTTCCTCCTGGGGCCCCACCGGGTAAACAACCCCCGCTGAGCCCTGCAGCAGGCAGGGGCAGAGCAGCTCCCCCAAGTGCTAACACCTGAAAATCAGCACAGCAGGCCCCTCCCCCAGAAGACCAGCTGGACGGACCAGTGATACTCCCCCGTGTTCCAATACAACTTGTTTCTGGCCACTCTGCACTGAGCAAAATGACTAGAAGGAAAACCTCACTTCAAAAGAAAGAATCAGAAACAGCCCTCTCTCCCACAGAGTTACAAAATCTGGATTACACTTCAATGTCAGAAAGCCAATTCAGAAGCACTATTCTACAGCTACTGGTGGCTCTAGAAAAAAGCATTAAGGCCTCACGAGACTTCATGACTGCAGAATTTAGATCCAATCAGGCAGAAATTAAAAATCAATTGAATGAGATGCAATCCAAACTAGAAGTCCTAACGACGAGGGTTAACGAGGTGGAAGAACGAGTGAGTGACATAGAAGACAAGTTAATGGCAAAGAGGGAAACTGAGGAAAAAAGAGATAAACAATTAAAGAACCATGAAGACAGATTAAGGCAAATAAATGACACTCTAAGGAAGAAAAACCTACGTTTAATTGGGGTTCCCGAGGGCGCCGAAAGGGACAGAGGGCCAGAATATGTATTTGAACAAATCCTAGCTGAAAACTTTCCCAATCTGGGAAGGGAAACAGGCATTCAGATCCAGGAAATAGAGAGATCCCCCCCTAAAATCAATAAAAACCGTTCAACACCTCGACATCTAATAGTGAAGCTTGCAAATTCCAAAGATAAAGAGAAGATCCTTAAAGCAGCAAGAGACAAGAAGTCCCTGACTTTCATGGGGAGGAATATTAGGGTAACAGCAGACCTCTCCACAGAGACCTGGCAGGCCAGAAAGGGCTGGCAGGATATATTCAGGGTCCTAAATGAGAAGAACATGCAACCAAGAATACTTTATCCAGCAAGGCTCTCCTTCAAAATGGAAGGAGAGATAAAGAGCTTCCAAGACAGGCAGGAACTGAAAGAATATGTGACCTCCAAACCAGCTCTGCAAGAAATTTTAAGGGGGACTCTTAAAACTCCCCTTTAAGAAGAAGTTCAAGTAACTCTGAACGTGAATGGGCTTAATGACCCCATCAAAAGGCGCAGAGTTTCAGACTGGATAAAAAAGCAGGACCCATCTATTTGCTGTCTACAAGAGACTCATTTTAGACAGAAGGACACCTACAACCTGAAAATAAAAGGTTGGAGAACCATTTACCATTCAAATGGTTCTCAAAATATACCCTAAAAACTACAGAACACTTCTGAAAGAAATTGAGGAAGACACAAAGAGATGGAAAAATATTCCATGCTCATGGATTGGCAGAATTAATATTGTGAAAATGTCAATGTTACCCAGGGCAATTTACACGTATAATGCAATCCCTATCAAAATACCATGGACTTTCTTCAGAGACTTAGAACAAATTATTTTAAGATTTGTGTGGAATCAGAAAAGACCCCAAACAGCCAGGGGAATTTTAAAAAAAGAAAACCATATCTGGGGGCATCACAATGCCAGATTTCAGGTTGTACTACAAAGCTGTGTTCATCAAGACAGTGTGGTACTGGCACAAAAACAGACATATAGATCAATGGAACAGAACAGAGAACCCAGAAGTGGACCCTGAACTTTATGCTCAACTAATATACGATAAAGGAGGAAAGACGATCCACTAGAAGAAAGACAGTCTCTTCAATAAATGGTGCTGGGAAAATTGGACATCCACATGCAGAAGAATGAAACTGGACCACTCTCTTGCACCATACACAAAGATAAACTCAAAATAGATGAAAGATCTAAATGTGAGACAAGATTCCATCAAAATCCCAGAGAAGAACTCAGGCAACACCCTTTTTGAACTTGGCCACAGTAACCGGAGAAGGACAAACAGTGTATGTTCTCATTCATTTGGGGAATATGAATAATAGTGAAAGGGAATATAAGGGAAGGGAGAAGAAATGTGTGAGAAATATCAGAAAGGGAGACAAAACATAAAGACTTCTAACTCTGGGAAATGAACTAGGGGTGGTGGAGGGGGAGGAGGGTGGGGGGTGGGGGTGAATGGGTGGCGGGCACTGAGGGGTACACTTGACGGGATGAGCACTGGGTGTTATTCTGTATGTTGGTAAATTGAACACCAATAAAAATTAATTTATAAATAAAAAAAAAATAAAGTGGTGTATTAGTTGTCTTTTAAATTTGAATCATTATTTATGTTATGGATTTAATACTTTATGCATTATTTTGTTGCAACTATTTTCACCAGTTTGTCTTTTGCCTTTTAATTGACTCTTTTTTTTTTTGCATAACTGAATTAAATTTTTATATTTTCAAATCTTTTTTGTGTGAGATGAGTTAGGGACAGTTTTTAACTAGAGGCTGCCAGCCAGCACATGCTTCACTACTCCTCACCTATACTGTCACAAAGGGAAGGAACTGTAAATGCACACCCGAAATCTAGGGGAGGAGTCTAGTCTGGGGTGTGTGTCTGGATTTCACCTGTCTAGAGCATCATGGAAATAGAGGTGCAGCCGAACTCTTCTGCAGCAAGAAAGGAGAAAGAAAAGGGAAAAGAAAATCATTGGAACATCTGTATTTGAAAGGTTGAGAAGAAGAAAATGAGTTGGCAAAGCTGGCACAGAAGAGTGACAATAATAATGATAATGATGTCAGGGAATCCTTGTAGGCCAAGAAGGAAAGAGATATTAGGTGATGGTCAGTTGGTTACAGAGGGTAGAAAGTTGGCAAGAGAAGCCAATGAAAAGGTCAGATTATCAGGAACAGAGAAGCGGAAAGGAGGTGAATAGATCAAACTTTTTTCCTATTTGGTTGAACAAGCACCATCTCCAAGCACTTGTGAACACATTAAAACAAAAACCAAAATCATACTTGTACATGCAAAGCGATCATACATCTTGTGTAGTTTCCTTAGGTCCTTCCTCATTTCCACTACTGTAATGATTTTTAAAAGTTTCATGACATCAAGCAAAGGGAAAGTTTTATAGGGAATTCACACTCAACTTTCATGCTCTCTCTGTGCGTAGGAATGATGTTAATAGGCCAATGCTTTATTTTAACGACATTTTATTATAATCACTAAAGTTACTTAAGCAGCCTCACTGTGATAGGAACTTGGGCTGGGTCTTTCTGTATGGATTCAAAATTGAAGTTGTATCAATAGACAGGATTTCAAAAAAAAAAGGGGGAAATCTGCAAGAAGTGGCATCACTCCGAGGTCGAAATGTGGTACAGATATATAAGGTTCTGTCTCAGCTTCAGAACCGAGGCCTGACCTCCCGGAAGGGGCTGCAGTGGAGCTGCCCACTCTCCCTTCACCCCCCAGTTTGTTTCTTATCCTGGAGACACGTCTGTGGACACTGTGTTGGCATGCTCTAATAACATACCTGGCATTGTTTGCTTTTCCCTGTCAGGGAGCAGAAAGGAAAATCCGAGACGAAGAGAGGAAGCAGAACAGGAAGAAGGGGAAAGGCCAGGCCTCCCAAACCCAGTGCAACAGCTGTGAGTGTTGCTGAGGAGGGGTGGGCTCTGGCCAGGCCACGTCCACTAGGGGAACAGGTGGGAAGAAGTGGATGGTGGGTAAAACCATGGGCCTGTGAGGGATGGCTTGTCTGCCCTAGCTGTGAAGCCTGGGTGCGTGGTCTCTGTGAGAAGCAGATGGAATCATGTGACCATAGATTGTTTGCGCTGGGAGGGACTTTGTAATCTCACGGAGACCAACATCTTCCTCCTCCAGACAAGGAACCTTGGGTACAGAGAGGGACAGAAGGGCACAAGGGGCTCCAGCTCAGGAGTACTCACCTGAAGTTCACGCTCTCTTTGTTGTTTTGGCAGTGGGAGAGGGGGTGATAAAGTCTGTTCACATCTGTGGCTTTTGGAAAGATTTGGAGGAGAAAACAGGGAACTCAGGCTAGGGCTCACAGCTAAGAGTTTCTAGTCATGCATAACCCTCTTACATCCAGCCTCTGATGGGAAGTTGGCGGCGATACCATTACAGAAGAAAAGCGACATCACCTACTTCAAAACGATGCCTGACCTGCACTCGCAGCCAGTCCTCTTCATACCTGATGTTCACTTTGCAAACCTGCAGAGGACAGGACAGGTAGGCTCTACCTGCTAACATCCACCTGCCGTCCCTCCCCCTGGGGCCGATGGAGACTTAAGACAGTCACATCACACCGTGATGACCTTGAAAATAGCACCTGCACTCCATGCATTCCACGAAAAGTCAGTCATTCCGTAAGAAAATGGATTTTAATAGAAAGGAATGTCTCAGGAGAGGAAACTGACTTAGTTTGGGGAAGAAGAGAGTGAGCTGATAGTAGTGAAGTGTTGACAAAGCAGTGAAGGGGAAGAAAGTAAGGAGGCTGATAACCTGAGGAAGTTTTGTGTTGTGGCTCTGGTCATGTGGGACGCGCCTGGTGCGGTAGAGCTCCACCTGATGGTGGGAAGTTGAACTGCACCTATAACTTCAGAAAGTTGCCCAAAAGGAAACACTTTTTGATTACATAAAACCATATAAGCAGTTTTTCCCTTAGTAAATTAACAGTTTTCATTGAATAGGTGAGTCACTTCACACCGAAAGAAAAATGAGATTGTAGACAAGCCTTTTTAAAAGTAATTCCTGTCTTCTAGTCATACCTACAAGCAAAATTAAAGACTAAAATTAAAATAACATAAACACCCAATAATTAACTCATTATGGTAGCTCAAGTTGATGGAATATTATGTGGCCACTAAAATTATAATTACAGAAATTATGTAGCAACATAGGAGCTAGTTATGATAATGTTCAGTGTAAGAAAAAATTAGAATACCCATTTGTGTCTGTACCATGAATCTAGATATATACCTGAGCTTGCAGGTAACAAGAAAAATTGCAACACTTGATGAGTAGGATTATGTGATGGATGATTTTTCTTTCTTTAGTATTTTTAATATTATTTATTTTATGTGATAAAATAGAATTGAAGAAAAGAACCTCCCTAGCATTAGCCAGATTTGTCTTTCACTAAATCAGTTAGGTTTTAGTGCATCGTGTATGGGCTAGTTTTCTTTTAAACTCAGAATCCTCTGAGGAAGAGTTTGTTTTGAGAATAGGGGCATACCAACATACTCAGGTTTTTCTTCCATTCCAGGTGTTCAGACACTCAGTGGAATTGACCTTAGTCAGGAGGAGAAATCATTATTGTCTCAACTTGTTCTTTCTTAAGAATATATTGTCCCTACCCATGTTGTTTCGTTATAGGTATGAGACAAAGTACTTACACAACTGGGCTTCTTTGTTGCTGTTCATGACATAACATGGTAACAAAATACCTATAGTTTTTTCTTAGAGTGCATTCCACTAGAAATTAATTTAACATTCCTTTCTTGTCTTACTTGTTTGATAGGAACAAGGACACAAGGCAAAAGAGGAATGTTAGGATTTAGCAAGCTATGAGTGCTAGCACCTCATTCTATTTATTTTTTTAATTCCCAAGAATATGGTGATTTGTATATTTACAGTCTTAGCCCCATAGGATTTTGTGAAGCTGGGTATATACACTTTCCAGAAGAAGGGATAATTGAGTTAAATTGTTCTTACTGTTCACCGTCATGATTCTGGCTTCGGCTCTGTGTCAAAGCTGATGACAGCCTGACCTGTTCTCTTGGCAACACGTCCCTGAAATATACAAAGCTGTAATGACTCTTCAGAGGAGCAGTGACCAAATCTGGCTGCTCACGACTCTGAGTTTACTGGCCTCATTGGCCTCATTGGCCTCTCCATGTCCGAACTGGATTCCTAGCCTGTGGCCAAATCAAGCTGGATTCCTAGCCTATGGCCAAATCGGAAGGAAAATGTAGCCTTTACAGTTTTTTGGTTTTAGTGATTGCAAAGCAGCTCAGGCAGTGCCCCCAGGCCTCTGGCGAAGTTAAGTTCTACAGTCCGGAGCCACCCTTACAGAGCCCTCAGGCTTCCCCTGTGGCCTTGGAGGCAGAGTTACAGGGGTCAGAGACGGAGCCTGCCTGATCTCTGGGCAGCAAAGGAACACAGTCCACTGTGCTCTGGAACAATGTGTGAATATTCTATGGTTGATCAACTTACTTGGCCAAGATCAGGAGCACCTACAGTGGCTGGCTGGGACTGAAAGTCTACCTTTTCTTGGAAGAGCTAGAAAGTAGGGAGATGGGTTTGAAGGCAGGAGGGAAGCCAGCAGTGCCATGAAGTTAGTGGGTGTGGGGCAGGGAGTGGCTGACTTAACATGCCACCATTAGCCTGTCAAAATGTGGGGTCCAGGGTTGGGGGTGAGGGGAGAGGTAGGTGTTGGTGTGCAGCAACATCAAAACTGCACAGCTGGAAAGTGTTCAGCTCTTCAGCTCTTAGGGTCAGTGAGAGACCCCCCTGCCCCTGTCATGTTGAGGGCTCATGAGCTGTGGCACAGCAATTCCAAGAACATGGGTGGGGGAGTAGGTGTTTTCACTGCCAGCCCACATGTTCCCTTTTCCATTATCTCATCGATTCACATGTGGGTTGGAATCATCAGATAATTGTCAAAAACTAAAATCAGGCAATGAACCCAATGTGCAGGCACCGTGGAAATCGTTGTTAGTCTCTTTCTCTTCACATTAAATCCCAGATAGTCACCGAGGCTTTTCTCTGGAATGCCTTTAAAAACAAGTGATAAGGGGAGTTTGGGAGAAATTGTGAGATACAGAGGTGTCATCTTTCTGATCAGACTTCCTCAAGGAACCTGAACCCAAGGAGGACTTTGCTCCTCCCTCATGCCCTGTGGAGCAGTCTTCCCAGTTGTGGTTTGTAAACGGACTTCTCCCAAACCACAGGAGTGCTTGCTAAGAATTCAGGCTCCTAAGTTCCATTCCAAGTCTTTTGAATCAAAATCTCTAAAGAGGGTTACAGGAATTCACATTTATAACAGTCTCCAGATATTTTTTATGCATTCTAAAGTTTGAGAAACAGTCTAAAAATTAAATTCCTGCAATAAGGCCTACAGCCCACAAGGAAGAAACAGTGGGTTGAGGGAGAGAAGTGACAATGCAAGGAACATGATAGGGACAGTGTCGTAGAGACCATTCAAAAGGGCAGGAAAACACTTAAGAGAAGGCTGCTTCATTTTGAGGTCACCAGTTAACTTGCAGGGAGCCCTCCATGACCCTGTCATATAGTCAGACAGATACATTATGCTGCATTTAAAGAAGTTAGCAAAAATCAGGCCAACATCAGGAGCTTTTTCCAGAAGATTCAGTTGTGTGACCAGTGATATGACCCAGGCTCCCTCACTCGTGTGTGTCATTCCATATGCACTGAAATAGTCACATTTCTAGAACGTCACAGTGGCAGATGCTCCAATGCCACATTGATATTTGGGATATGGTGGAAGAAAACATCTTACCTTTGCTATTTTGTGTTAAAAAGAAACAAAGTATACAATACAACAATAGATACAAAAGATTTTCAAGAGGAAAGTTCCCTGTGGAAATCTGTCTAATGACTAAAATGACTCATGCCCAAGGAGTTCCAGGTAACCAGCTTCGTTATATAGCAAAGTCTGGGAATAGTGGCATCCCAGGAACTGCCAGGAGCCTTTAAGAAAGTGTATAGGGAGGGTGTCAGTCTAGGCAGAGCTTTTCTCCCAGGCAACTGGGGCAGGGGCAGTGATGAAGTATACTGGCACCACAAATGACTTTTGAAGTTAAAGTGTAAATGTCTGATGCTAACTTGAGTATTGTCCCAAACAAAAATGATCCCGAAGCATATAGATAAAGCTCAAGAAAGGCCCACAATTAATTTTTATAAATAATTGGCCCAAAAGGATCTACATACATAGCAGGTCCCTTCTGGATTTCTGTAGTTTCATAAAATAATAAGGATGCTGCATAATTTCTTTAAATCTGATTCTGCCTGCAACCATGCTGACCACCTAAAGAAATCTATTCTCAGGGGTCTTCTGACCAGGAGGACCTCCTAGAGCTATATGATCTTTTCCCAGCCCGAAGACAGTTGACTCTAAGTGTTTGTGGTTGTGGGATGCCAGGACAGCCCAGGCCCTTTTGGGGAACACACAGAGGCCTGGGGTTTCTGCTGCATTGCCATAAGACTCTCTTTCTCCCCTGCCTTGCCAGAGTACAGTATCTATAGCTTGCTCACCCATGGATCCAATGGAATTGGTTACTCACAGGCCCTGCCCCAGAGTCTTTCTAAACAATGATTTTTAGATCCTGCTAAAATACTTCTTTAATGTCAAAGGCAAGAGCTGACTTAGAACTGTAGATAGTCTGATCAGAATGACTTGAGCTAGAAATAATCAGATTTCCAACTTTACTTCCTTAAACCCCAAGAATTAACCCTAGAGAGAATATGAGGTTAAATTTGTCTTTCCTTTCCTTGGACACACACATAGGCATCATTAAACAGATTTGCCTTTTGTCTTTTTAAGACAGTGTAAGAGCCTAGGAAAGTATGTGCATCACGTAATATATTTCCATTTCTTGTATCTGACCTACAGTAAGACTGTTGTTTTGTTCCCACAGATGTATTACAACACGGATGATGAACGAGAAGGGTAAGCACTCAGTTCTTCCTCTTTACACCCAAAGTCAGTTCATGTCAGTAGCCATGGCTCTTGGAGTACAGGATAACCATGAACTTAGAACTGAGAAATGAGAAAGGCTTGACTCTTGAGAACTGTCTGAGACGAAAGGCTGGGGAAATGCTGTTCTCCTTCCAAACCTTTCTTTATATCTCTCTCCCTCCTGTGATCTGCCTTTGAATAACTAGCTGTTTTTCTAAGTGACACATCTCTTTAATTCTACTTTTTCACCAATAGTCCAATTACTGAAATCTCTGGCCCCAGTGCAGGATCAAGGTGGGCTTGAGGTGGGAGCCAGGGAGACAGCCTACCCTGCTTTGTAGTGCTCTGGTCACCCACACAAACCTCTTGAAGCCCTCACTCTGGGAAACTGATCCAGGGGGTCAGTGGTGAGGCTGGTGTGAATGAAACTAGGCAAGCTGAGAGCCTAGTCACTGTCCTTGGGATTGTAGGTAAGAGAGGGTTTACGTCAGGTCACTAAGGCTCCCAGGTGTCTTGCATAGTGCTTTCTGTGTATTTACTCACTTTATACCCTCTTAGAATTTTAGAAACAAAAAGGAATCTTCAAGGTCATTTAGCTAACCCTCTCTTCTAGGCAGTGTAACATGGTACACCACATTTTTGGTAGGTAGTCAGCCAGCTTCTACTTGAATACTCTCACTGTATGTAAGGTAGCTCATGACACCATTGGACAGTTGCAGCTCTCAGAAAGTTAGTTTATCTATTACACTGATGTCCACCTTCTTTTGACTTCCACCTATGGGCTCTAGTTCTGCTCTTTAGAAAAGCCCCATCCATTCCTATTATTACACTTCAACATCTGCACTCCAGGGGATACCACCAAATTTCTAATCATTTCCTTAGAATTGTTTCTCAGAAATAAATATCTGTTCTCAACCACATGAGTTGGAGATGATATTGAGATAATTTCTTCTTGTGACCCACACCCTATTTTTCTCTTAAAGCAATCTAGAACTACATTCATTTTTCAATATCTATGTTACATTACATATATACAACTAAACTTGTGGTTTGTGGTATATCTATATAAAATTTCTAGATCATTTTTTCAGATGATAGTCAAACCAGAGCATCCCTATGGTTATACAATGAATATATTTATTTATAAAACATTTCAAGATGAAGTAAGTAGAACAGATATTGCTGAGTTCATTTCCTAGAGCAGAGTTTTAAACTACAGCCTGAGAACCAAATCAACCCATTGTCTATTTTTGTACAGTCTGCAAACTTTTAAAAAAAAAAAATAGGCTCCACACAAAATGTGAAGCCCAATGCAGGGCTTGAACTCATGACCCTGAGATCAATACCTGAGCTGAGATCAAGAATTGGATGCTTAACCAACTGAGCCACTCACGTGCCCCTGTCTGCAAACATTTTTAAATGGCTGAAAAAAAAAATCCAAAAGAAGAATAATATTGTGCGACATGTGAAAAATAAATGAGATTCAAGTGTCCATTAAGTTTAATTGGAACACAACCCTGTTAATTCTATTATGTCTTACCTGTGGCTGCCTTGGTGCTACAACAGCAAAGTGGAATAATTGCCGCAGAAACCGGTGTGGGCTAAATATTTGCTCATCTGGCCCTTTGCAGAAAAAGTGTGCCACCCTCTGGCCTAAAGGATAGAGAATCACAAAGGAGTCAGAATCCCCCAGCTGGTTAAGAGCAGAACCTTGTCCAGGATCTAACCTCTAAATTCAGAGTTCTGAATTTTCAAAATACCTAATTGGATTGTTCTTTTTATCTTGGCACATAGGTAATGTATTCCCAGTGGCTGGAATGAGCAGAAACATTAGCACTATTGGATTCTAATCTGTTGCTCATGTATTTTACAAGGGACAGTGTGGTGTCATGGAAAAAACAGTGGCTCTGAGTTTAGGAAGCCCACATTCTACTCCAAGGCCATTGCTTACCGATGTGAGGCCTTGGGCTGGCTCCTTGACCTCTGGCTCTCAATCTCCTCAGCTGTAAAATGAGGATTTTATATGAGGTGATCCTCGAGGTCTGATCTAGCACTAACATTCTCCTCTTCTCTTCTCTGGAAGAAGTTAACCTCATAAGGGAGAAGTGCCTGAGACCCCAGCTCTGCTTCACATGCAGAAAAGTCGACTTCAGCCTTTGTCCTTCCTGGCAAGTTGGCAACATTTAGGTAGCCAGTTGACTTACTGCTGACTCCCATGGCTTGGCCTCTCTGTAAGAATTACCCTCTGTTATTGCATCATCAGCCTGAGGCCCGAGTCTCCATCTCTCGTACATCTAATTAGAGTTCAGTTGAACACTGTGGGTGGCCTTGGAGCCTCCGTGTTAATACATGGTTGGTACTTGGCTATTGTTATATTTAAAAGGAATAATTAACACTCACTGGATATCCTGGCTAGGCACTGTACTAAGTAAGTGCTTTATATGCATTGTTGCAGTGAATGCTCCCAAAATTTCTATGAGGAGGATGCTATAATTACCTCCACTTTGTAATGAGCAGGGAAATGTGTTCAAATGTGTTTGTAATGAGCAGTCATACAGCTGGCTGTGGTAGAGGCAGGATTGGAACCCGGTCTAGCTGACCCCTGCTTTTAGCCATCGTGCTCGTCACCTAACCCTCTTAATTCTTGAACTGTGGCTGCCAAAGAGGCACAGAGACAGGCCTCGTTGTGATAGCTTTTTGTCCTTGATACACCCTTGGCTCACCCTTTGGAGCTCGGAACCCATATTGTGACAAGCCCAGATGAGTGTACCTGGCTAAAGAGATCAGCTCACTGAGCCCTGAGGAGTGCCACCTTCCCTGGCATTTGCATAGCCTCCTTCAGGGCTATCCCTGGCCTGCAAAATCAATACATATCAAAGCATCTGATTAAGTCTAGACAGCAGCATTCACTCAACCACCAGCCAGAGGAGGTAGCACAACTAAAGCACACCACAGTCCCCCCATCCCCACCCCCTGCAACTCCGAGGCCAGTGTGGTGGTCAGATCAGATACAGCCTGCTGGACTGAAGTGCTGGCAAATCTGAGTGTGATTAAAGGGGGAAAGTAGAGAAAATGCAGATGAGGTGGATTGGAAGCGTCATCTGCCAAGTGCCTAAACAGAACAAATAGAGGAACACTGCTTGCTTCTGCCTCTTTGATGGTAAAGTGAGTATTGGGGGTGACTTCTGGTGCTGAGTTTGAGCATCGACAGACTCCACTCGGGTTGTTCGTAGGCTGGGGTTACAAGTTTGATAGAGAGGCTTTGGATGCCACTTCTCAGTGGTAGCCTCTTGCTGCAATTTGGAGTCACCCAGGGAGTTGAAAAATACTCACATATAGGTAACACCCCCAGGCATTTTGATTTACTTGATGTGGGATGCAGTTTAGATACAGAGAGCCTTCTAAAGTCCCTAGGTTATTCTAAAGCTGAGCAGTATTTGAGAAGCACTGCTCTGGAGCCTGCCAGCCATGATTTGAATCAGGCCTTTATAAGCTTTGTAACTCATATAACAACTTTTTGGAGTCTCATCTAAATATAGCAAATAATACCTACCTGATGGGGTGCTTGGGTGACTCAGTTGGTTAAGCATCTGCCTTGGGCTCAGGCCATGATCTCAGGTTCCTTGGATTGAGCCTTACTTCGGGCTCCCTGCTCAGCTAGGAGTCTGCTTCTCCCTCTCCTCTCTCTCCCTCTGTCCTCCCCACCTTGTGCTCTCTCTCTCAAGTAAATAAATAAAATCTCTAAAAAAATTTAATACCTTTTGGGGAAGTTAGATATTATTAATCTATCACCAGTGAGTGCATTTAATCACCATGGTACTAAATTTAAAAAGTCACCAGCCTGTGTTCATCAGCACAAAATAAAATTTTTGAGAATTCTGCACTACTTTTTTTAAAGGAGCACCTTTGCAGAGCTCCAAGTACTTTGATAAGTTTCTCAAGGATGCTAAGCAAACTATGAAATGTAAGGTATGATGGGCTCTGTTGTACCACAAAAACATAATTATAAGGTGGCTAAAAATAAAGGACAACTTCCTCAATTTCCTAAGGAGGAGCTAAAAACATAAATTAAAGCTTTGGGGCCAGTTTGAATAGTTAAACCATTATGGATATTGCCAAAAGAATCAATGATTTATTGATACTTACTTTGTTAATATAACTTAACCTACGTTTAAGGAGTAACACAATTCAGAAATGTGTGTTACATCTTATGAAACACTTTTTTTAAAATTATTTACAATTCATCTTTGACATAGTGTCTTATCACTAAAATTGATGTGCATCACTAAAATAATGTGTTTGCTGTCATCTCACACTGTTTATCAGATAGTCTTTCCCACTACTGTCGAAGTAGAGATACAGCACTTTTTAGATCCTTATCTTCAAGCCTAAGAAATTTTATCTGAAGCCACAGATATTAATTCCTATAACATTAGAAATAGTTATACAAGTGTCTGCCACAATGTTGCCTTATAGTCAATTGTTTTTAATTAAAATTTTTATTTCATAGTAATGGCAGATCCATATGCAGTTGTTAAGAAGCCCACCCCTTGGGATGCCCAGATGGCTCAGTGGCTTGAGCCTTCTGCTCAAGTCATGATCTGGAGTCCTGGGATCAAGTCCCACATCAGGCTCCCCAGAGGGAGCCTGCTTCTCCCTCTGCCTATGTCTCTGTGTCTCTCATGAATAAATAAAATCTTAAAAAAAAAGAAGAAGAAGAAAGAAGCCCACCCCCTTTCCAGTGGATATACTTTTATTTTTTACTGTTATATATTGCCTTTAAAAACCCACTCAGTAATACTCAAATCTGCATCAGATAGGCAAAGGACATTTTATATAATATTTAAAATATTTTCATCAGTTTCTTACATTAGTACCAGTTATTCTTACTTATGTACTAGATTGCTTTTTTTTGTAAACTGGAAGATTTAAACTAAAGACTCCTTTTAAAATTTTAATCTATATTTATTCTTTCCATTGTTTCATTTCTC